AGAATATATTTCCTCTAAAGGAAATGGCAGAATCTAGTTCTAATAAACGAACATATGAAACTGCTAGTGGTTCTGTACCAGATGGTACTGATGAAGAACCGAGACGTAGTAAAAGGGTAAAAACGGTGAAAACGTTTGGACCTGATTTTATTACGTATATGTTGGACGATGTACCGAGTTCCCTTAAGGAAGCTCTGTCCAGCCCAGATGGACCACTCTGGGAAGAAGCTGTAAATAGCGAAATCGAGTCCATTATGCAGAACCATACTTGGGAGTTGGTTGATCTCCCTGATGGTTGTAAACCTTTAGGATGCAAGTCGATCCTAAAGAAGAAATATAAAGCTGATGGATCGATTGATAAGTTTAAAGCACGATTGGTGGTCAAAGGCTTTAAACAAAAGGAAGGGTATGATTTCTTTGATACCTATTCACCAGTTACGCGTTTAGCGTCGATAAGAGTGCTTCTCTCGATTGCTGCTTTGCACAATCTTGAGATTCACCAAATGGATGTCAAGACGGCATTTTTAAATGGTGAATTGGAAGAAGAAATATACATGGAACAACATGAAGGGTTTGTTGCACCTGGACAAGAGAGAAAGGTGTGTAGATTGATCAAATCCTTGTACGGACTGAAACAAGCTCCGAAACAATGGTATTTGAAATTTGATGACGTGATGTTATCAAATGAGTTCAAAATCAACGAATGTGACAAATGTGTTTATGTCAAGAGTACATCAAATGCATTTGTGATTGTATGTCGATATGTAGACGATATGTTGATCATGGGGAGTAGCCATAAAGTGATCATGGATACGAAAAGAATGTTGAAAAGAAATTTCGACATGAAAGATATGGGTTTGGCTGATATTATTCTTGGAATAAGGATTATCAGAACCCAAGATGGAATTGTCTTGTCACAATCTCATTATGTAGAGAAAGTGCTCAAGAAATTTGATACCTATGACGGTGCACAGTCTAGGTGTAAGACACCCATTGATCTTAGTATAAATTTGGTAACCAATAAAGGTCAACCAGTGGCTCAGTTAGAATATTCACGGGTAATAGGGAGTCTGATGTACTTGACGAATTGTACACGACCAGACTTGGCCTACCCGGTGAATAAGTTGAGCAGATTTACGAGCAATCCCAGTCATGAACACTGGAATGCTTTGAGAAGGGTACTTAAGTACTTAAGGTACACTCTTGAATACGGGCTAAAATACTCGAGATATCCAGCCGTACTTGAAGGGTACTGTGATGCAAGCTGGATATCAGATTCGAGAGATTCTCGCTCCACTAGCGGATACGTTTTCTGTATTGGAGGAGGTGCAGTTTCGTGGAAATCCACAAAACAAACGTGTATAGCTCGGTCAACGATGGAATCGGAGTTCATAGCTTTAGATAAAGCTGGTGAAGAAGCCGAGTGGCTTAGAAATTTTTTATCCGATATTCCATGTTGGGATAAGACTTTGCCACCTGTGATGATTCACTGTGATAGCCAAGCTGCTATAGGTAGGGCGCAAAGTAACTTGTATAACGGTAAGTCTAGACATATTCGTCGTAGACATAATACCGTACGCCAATTGGTCACAAATAGTGTTATTTCCATTGACTATGTGAAGTCTAAAGAAAATTTGGCTGATCCTTTGACGAAAGGATTGAATAGAGATCAATTGGTAGTTTTGCTAGAGGGAATGGGCTTAAAAATCCACAATGAAAAGAATGATCATAGTGGTAACCCTACCATGCTGAATGGAGATCCCACGAATTTGGTTCAAAGGGAAAACTAAGCTATGAAAATTCAGTTGAACACTTGGAACATATGAATGTTCAAAGCTATTCCCTAGAGAATTCCAAGTGAAAGATGACCTGTTGATTGTGGTGAGGGTAAGTCATGTGGACTTTTAATGAATCCCTAACCTTGTAAAGGTGGAGTATAACAGGATACTCTTGATAGGGAGGTCACCTATATAAGTGTGAAGTGTGGGCCGCTTCAAATGTAAACACTTATGAATCCATTGTGTTGTCCATGGCCAAAACGGACACAACGATAGAACGGAATGGAGTTAAGGCTTTATTGTGTGAATGTCATTGTCTCGGTGTACACTATGGAGGAATAGTTCAAGGCATCATGTCCACTAGGCCGCCAGTGCATCCGATGATGTTTACAAAGAAAGGTTCAAAGGCAAAAGCTATCTTCTCTGATGAAATAGAGTTTTGTGAGGGTTGAGCACAATAGATATATATTTAATTTACACTCATGTGGGGGATTGTTATTAAATGTTGAGTGTATTTAAATATGGGTTCAACTTGCAGCATGATTTTTCTAAACCTTCCCAACAACTCGGTTCTAATGATCTCACTTCAACAACCAAATTAAATACTCTCACAACCACTATATGCCAACTTCTCCCATCAACTCCCTTGTTTAATTAAGTCAACACCTATTATTTGTTCTTTTTCACCTATATAAATTGGGATAATCCAATTGATGGAGGTACAGAAATACACGCAGAGAAAGAAAGGGGAAGGAAAAAAATAAGAAAGAGAGAGAAGAAGAGAAAAGGGAAGAAAAAGAAATAAAAAACGTATAAAAAAAAAATTAAGATATATTTTTATTTTCGTGCTCAATTCTCGATTCCGTTCCAGTTCGCCGGAGCTCGTAAATCTGGTGTGCTACAGATTTAGAGACGTTTGCCGTTGTATCTTTGGGGAAGTTACGCCTGAACCGTTAGCTGCCACACGGGGCGTATTCTTCTTGCGGAAAGAGTTTTACTCGCCTCGGCTAAAATCTTTCCATTTTATTTTATTTTATTTTTTTTTTTAATTTTCAGTTGTAATTTATTTTTCAGTTCGATTGTAATTTTCTATTTTTTAGATTATTTGTAAGAACTGAATAATACATATCAGTTCGTAGGATTCCCGTGTAATTTTTATACCCGATTTCTAACAGTCGGGGGCAGGTGGTGGCAGCCGGCGGGTGCGGGTGGTGGCTACTGATCGTATGTGTGTGAAATTGAAGGTTGCGGCGGCGAACGACTGGACCGGCGGCTGGCGGCGTGGCCAACGAGCTTGTAATTGTGTGTGTGTGAAACCTCTAACAATCACGTCAATAAGATGATAAGGAATACAGTATAGAAATATCTGAAAGCTTCCGAAATGTATATAGAGTGATTAACATTTACATCTTCCAGAAGAAAGCTTCTGTTCTGTCCACCTGCCCGAGGGACTGGCTGACTGCCCTTTCTGCCCAAAAAGAGCTACATATTGAGGATGTTGTCTTGTGCTTTTTCTGCTTAAGGTTTAAGCTGAAAAGCATGCTTAAGAGTTTAAAGGAAGCATGCCTTGTTTGACTTTTTTTGGCTTTATGTTGTTGTGAATATGCTGAGCTTTATCATGCGGTTAACATGATGAAACATTTGTTGAAATTCAGTTTTTGTGTTTAGCAATGAGGTCTTATTGTTGTGCTTAAGTTTGGTTAATTTTGAAAGGAAATTTGAAGCATTTTGGCCTTGAATCTTGAAGTTGTAGTTGGCCTTGTCATGCTGATTTTTTCCAAGCTCTGCTATGTGTAAAGCATGTTGTTATTGTGCCTATTTTCAGAGTTTTAGGTGCAGCCATAAGACCTTAAATGCTTGTGTTGTTGTTAGGAAAAATTTTTTAGAATTTCGCGAAGCATAGGCCTTTGGTTTAGATCGTTTCGGATCTCAATTATCTTGATTAGTTAGGCCCTTTTTATAAGTTATAAGTAGCTTGAATCTGGCTGGAAAAAGGTGGGATGGACCGGCAAAAGTTGTCGGAAAAGGTTTGGCTGGGAGCAGCCAGGTCGCACGTAGGGACGACCTATTCATTTCCTGCAGCAGCGCGCCCATGCATCCGCAGAGACTGCGCACCTCAGTGCCCCAACACCTGCAACATGCCGCGCCCACATGCCGTGTACAACAGTGCGCCCGTGCGCCAGTTGTCAGCGTTCCCTGCGCACCGTGTTCCCGCAACATCTCAGTGTGCGCTCGTGCACCTAGTGCTCAGCGCCCTTGCGTTGTGCCGCGCCGCAGAGCCTGTGTGCAACCTCGGCAGCCTGCATGTGCCCAGCAACCCGCGTTGTGCCGCCAGTGACCATGCGCGCCAGCGCATCAGTGCCCGCGACCTCGTGCACTCCCGTGCAGCCGTGGGCGCGCCTAAGCCTGCAGACTGCGTAGTCGTGAGCGCGCCTAATACAGGGGATCCGAGTCGAGTAATCGCAGCCAGGTTGACCTGAGCGGCGAGCGAACCGAACCGGGCCTGACCGGGCGCGAACCAGCTGGTTCGATCCAGTGAAAAATAAATTTTTTCGAGCCTCAAAATTTATCTGAGAACTCTAGACGAGCCTAGAGAAGTCTAAAAAATCTAGAAATAGTTTTATCTGGGTTTATTTGCATGCCTTATGTGTTTTAATTATCTTAATTGGTTGGCTTCTGCATGTTAATCAAAATTCCGTAATAATAAGATAAAAACTTATTTAAATTGTAGAATAAGTGGAGTCGAGCCCTTGCGAAGTTCACGTGCATTTTGATCTATCATCATCAGTAGTTAAGGTGGATGTCCCTAATTTACTAGGCTTTTATCCTTTATAATCGCATGATTCTATAATTAATGTATGTATGCGAACCATGTACTCGTTGAGTGCGGTTTTGACCACGACAAGCTATTCCCGTTATTGAGTGCAGGTTTCTATCTTCGACGGTGCCTAATGAAAGGCAATCTCCATTTGCCTAATGAGAGGCAGTGTCGTTGAGTGCGGTTTTAACCTTCGATGGTTTAAGATGTGTACACATGAGCCGGATGAAATGGATGGAGATGAATGTGATGTTGATGATTATAATTTGTGTTCATGTTGTGATTATATTATTTGAAACCTTTGTGTTTTCTATTGAAAAATGAGCGGGTGTGACATTTGTATTGTACATTGGCACGTGATCAAATACAAATTGATATTATTAATAATCACCACTTTACTAGTCCTCAATCAGCAAGTCATTTCATCACAAAGAACAAAAAATATCACTAGTGGTTGCGTTTCATGGCCTCAATAGTCAATACAGAACAAGATTCAAATTCAAATAAGCCAAAGAGATCAAATTCAGTTTTTTATTTATTTTTTTTTAAAAAAAAAAATATTTATGTCGATAGAAACTGGGACATCTTCGACAAATGCAGTCGTACAACAACTTCTGTAGTTTTGGATACCAAATATATGTTCAGAGAGTTGACATTTCTCTACAAACTCTAGCAGTCTCTTTGTCGCATCTTTCATCCATTCATTTTATATACATGTGGACATCAGATATCACACTCCCGTAATCTGGTGAACTCAAATACTGGACAAACTTGCCAAAAATTAGAAATATCTGCTCACAACTCTGTGTGAAATTTAGACGAATCGCTAACGGTAAAGCTCTTCAAGTTGGGTGAGTTGTAGTCGGTTGTCTTGGATTGTCTCGAAAGGATAAGCCGCGCTATATTCTCAGCTGCAACAGCACTTGTTTCCATGGTGCTGGCTGCATTCTCAAAAGCATTCACATAATATAGATTATTACCATCTAAAATGAACGGAGCATATTTTTCAGGCGCCTGATAATGAGGATAAGCGCCCCAGTTAATTCTGATCGTCTCCACTCTCACACTGTAAAATCCAATAAGATATCAATAATTAGT